GTCATAACCGCAACAGTGACTGTCTCACTGTTGGATTTCACGACTGGTTCAAAGTCGGGACGACGTGAGAGTGCATCAGCGACGACATTAAGTCGTCCTGGTTTGTACTCGACCGTAAAGTTGTATTCTGCAAAGAATGACAACAATAACCACCGCGCCATTCGTTGTGAAAGGTTCGGGCTGTTCACTGCCGTGCGTAATGACGCATGGTCAGTGTAAACAATGAAGGGCCTATCTCCCAATAGATAGACTCTGAACTTCGCGAGTGCATACTTCATGGCAAGGAGTTCCTTGTCATGCACTGGATAGTTCCGCTCAGCTGGTTGCAGCTGACGCGACTGATAGCAGACGACGCGTTCAACGCCTTCTAGGTCGTACTGCATTAATGCACAGCCGATTGCGAAATCGCTGGCATCACAGACCACATGAAATGGCCTGTCCTGATCGGCTATTGCTAGGACTGGGGATTGTATCAAGCTCTGCTTGATACCATCAAAGGAGCGCTGACATTAAGCGTTCCATAACCACCTCTCGTTCTTTTTCAACAAACGAGAGAGATGCACATTCATCTCGGCGTAATTGCGTGAATACTTATGCAAATACGCCGCTAGCCCAAGGAATTTTCGAAGACCTTTGACATCAACCGGCACAGGCCAGTCGGTGATCGCCTTGATCTTTTCGGGATCAAGACGTACACCGTTCTTACCAACGATGTACCCAAGAAGTGGTATTTCGCTTGCTGCAAATACACACTTCTTGAGGTTTGCATACAATTGATGCTTTCGCATGATTGTAAGAACCTGTCGGACGTGGTACCTGTGAACCTCAACATCCGACTTTCCATCCATAGCCCTACTATGGATGAATACGTCATCGAAATAACTCGGCGCGAATTCTCGTACTGGTCTCAACAGATGTGATACACATCTGTTGAATGTGGCAGGGGCATTACTAAGCCCTTGTGGCATTACTAGCCATTCCCAGAGCATGCCGCTAGGCGTGCTAACTGCGGTATAGGGTATATCCCGTTCTCTCATAAGGATCTGATAGAAGCCATCCATCAAATTCATGAAGGAAAAGATGGTACTCTTTGACAAACCATCTATGATTACGTCCTTCCTCGGTATCGGCGTCTGCGCCGGTACCGTTGCAGCATTCAACTTGTTAAATGCATGCACTATCCGTTGCCCTCCTGTTGCTTTTCGCACACAGAAGGTCGGAGAGCTATGTGGAGAAGTTGATTCCCTCACATGGCCCGCAGCTAAACGATCGGCAAAGAACTTGTCGATCGCAAGTACTTGTTCACGAGGCAGTGGCCACTGCTTCATGACACAGTACTTCGAGCCTGGTTTAAGCTCGACCTCGTGTCGAATACCTTTATCCTTCGGTAATTCGCACGGAACAGTTTCAGGGAATACATCCTTGAATTCAACCAAATCTTCATAGAGAGGATTTGTCTTGAGCGATTCCCACGATTGGGAGTCATATCGCTCAATTCGTGTCTTTTCATCTAGGACACTCTCGTCCATAGATGAACTACTGAGAACTCTCTCGCTCTCAGGAAACACTGTTGCTGACCTTATGTCGGCTACACACTCGTCGTCAGCGACGAGTACGCAGATCTGCTTGACTTTGCCACTACGCAGATCACGCAAGAACCTTTTATGTTCGAGCGTTGGCAACTGAGTGATCTCCGAAGTCAACTTCGGAGGCGCAATCAGATCAAGTGTATAAGCGCCTACACATGATCCGTTATTGGCTATGACATTCAATGTCTCTGTCATTTCCTGGGGACTTATTCCCTCAGGCTTCGAAGGACTTATTCCTTCGTCTTCCCGGGGACTTATTCCCGCGGGTTTCGGGGAACTTATTTCTGCCGTATTTGTAATATCGGGACTTATTTCCTTTACTTCCTCTAGCTGTGGTTGCGCACCCACAGCAAGATCCTCTACGAAAGACTCTCCAGTCGATCTAGGATTATCGTTTAGCTTAACCTGAGCGATCGATTGTTTCTCTTCTAGATGTTCCCCGCTAGGGATACATCTTTGTCCCAGTCCACTCGACTTATTCGAGTGGTGGACCTACGGCGCAGCCTGTGTTTCCTCACAGCCGCCGGAACTTTGCTCCGAAGTGTAACCGTTTGGTACACTAGGGTTTTGTGCAGTCGTACTAACGACCGTACCACAAGTGAGGCCATCGCACTCACTCGTAGTACATCCACACGCTTGTGGACGCTCCAAAACGTTCATCAGATAGCCATCTGAAGAACAAGCGGCAGGCATCGTTACTGTTCGATGTTGCCAGTTTACCCGTGGTTCGTACCTTCTGAGCCACGGTATTCCAAGGATGACATCAAATTTGTCATCCAGATCCAATACGATAAAGTCATCGTCATATTGGGCATCTTCCATCGTATAGTGAAACTTCACTATACGCTTCATGACGGTTACTGATGCGCCTGTCGCAAGACGTACCGTCATCCTCGTAGGAGGTGTGTCACATTCACTGAACTTAAAGTGACCATCTTCTAGCGATTGGCGTCGCACAAAATTGTTGGACGCCCCACAATCGACTAGAGCTCGAAGGGACAACTTATTCGTCACTTCGAGTTTCAAGGTAATGAGTGAGATCTCATTACCTAGAGCAGCAACGCACAACGTCTGTGTGTTGGGAGCAACCTTCATCAAGAGGCCTACAAATTCTCTTGACGTTGCTGGATCAGTAGGGTGCTCCGCACCTACTGATCCTGTCCGTTTTTTGACGGTCCATCCCGTTGTTGCGTCTTTGCACCAACAGCGGACCCGCGTCCCTGCCCCTTTCTCATGGGTGGACGGTCACTACGCCCAGTGTTGCGAGACACTGGACGAGGGGCACTACACTCGTAAGCGTAGTGTCCTGTCTTCTGACATCTGTTGCATTTCTGCAACTTCTTGTAGTCTGTAGAGCGAGCCTTCTCGCTCTCTACATACCAGAGTTCCATCGGCTCTGGACCTCCGTTGTCATATCGTCTCGGTTGACGATATGATGTCGAGCTGGCGCGAGCCTGTCTCAGACTGAAGTCTTCCTGTTCCGCAATGGAAATTGCTTGTTCTAGTGAATCTAGTTCAAGCCGGAACAGGTGAGTCTTGACGGGACCATCCGCAAGACCCTGCATGAACACCGAAACCAACGTGTGTTCATTAATCGGGTTGGAACTTATACAACTCGTAAGATGTCGTATATGTTGCGCGTAAGCGTGCACATCACGCTTACTCTGCTTGAGCTTCAAGAGTTCGGTTCGAGCTCTGAACTCAGCTCTAGGTGGTTCAAACGTTTGTCTGAGCCGCGACTTGAAGACTTCTAACGACCCAAACGCATATGGGTCGTGCAACTTGAGCCCCAGTGCCCAAGTCTTGGCACGTCCTGCCAGATTTGACTGGGCAAATGCAACTTGCATATCCCCGTCGTCGATGCGACGCGCCCTTATGGCGTCATCCAATTCGACGAGCCATCTCAAGAGGGAGTCTTCTTCGACTCCCCTATACTTAGAGATGTCAATCTTCAAGATTTCGGGTCGACGCGAGTGCATCGGCCCAGCAGCAGCAGCCTGCTGCTGTCTCAACAGTTCAAACTGTTGAGCACCCTGTTCTCTCAACAACTCTGCTTGTTGAGAGCCTTGTTGGTAAAGCAAGGCTACTTTCTCGCGTTCAGCGTCAAGTTCATTTTGAATGAACTTGGCGATAGTAGCATGTTGGGCATCTCTATTGAGAGCCTCTAGGATGACGCTAACAGCATGGATGCCCATGGTTGAACCCATTCGTTCAACCGCATCTCATTCGACATCGCTCAAATGGGAGTAGCCGTCACGCGTAGCGTGAAAGCTTTGGTCATCTTCATCATCCAACATATTCATGTTGAATGTGAACGTGGTCCTTAAACGGACTACGAAGTGCTACCAGGTAAAACGGGGCACCTTCAAGCTTGTACTGATGACAGTACATGCTACTTATTCTTATGACAGTATGAAGCGATGCCGCATAACTTCACGTACACTCGTACGTGCAGAGGAAGACGGTAAGAAGAAGCGAGTACTTGGTTAAAGTAAAAAGTAGAACCGTATTTATAATAGTTAATGTCTGCAATAAATCACTATTTATCTTCATCTAACTATGTCTAAATACAAATGTGTAAATCAGTTATCTGCTCACCACTCATTGCGTACGTCTGTCGTGGCGCGTCTTCGTTGGTTGATATAATGGCCTATATCAACCAATTAGTAACTACTCGTAAGTGCTACAGAATATTTGTCCTTATGACAATATTCTGAGAATATAACTCTTATAGCTATATTCTATTAACAATTTCTTATAAATTGTTATGTAACGATTCACCCCGGTATAGGTATTCCTCAGATTTTGCGAATTCCACATTTACTTTTGTTTTCTACGAATTCATTTTAAGCTGCTGAGGGGGTGAATGGCTGTAATTGACTGAAAAGAAGGGTGATTTAACTGGAAGTTTAAATAGTTGTTCTGTAAGTGTTAACATTTAAGTTTTGATTTGCTTTTTGACCAATCAGAGGCTCGGATTTGAAGGGGCGGGGGCTAGTTAACAAAGAGGTGGACGTTGGATATCGGAGCCCATTCCCAATAATATTTACCCTATGTAGAAAATATGCATCAGACACACCATGATACACTATCATCGACACAAAATATCAACCTTAACCAACGACCCGCACGAGTTGATGTGTCTTCTTTACAACGGCAGTTAATACGCAGTTAGAAGTACCCTTGCTCCAGATCAGAGGTAGACGACACGATTTTCAGATAACGCACGGTCCAATTTTACACACGTAAATGAGAGGCGCATCGGAGTCGCATATGCCCCGATCCAGAGTTACATGAGGGACAGCAGTTTACCATATGGGATAGAGAACAGGGTGATAGCGCATTAAGAAGCACGGACAAATAAGAAATCAAAGCAACATGGAAATTCCTTACGCTATGGCTTTAAGCTACTTAATGACGGGCGTGTCTCATGTATTCCGCTACGATCTCATTTATGAGGGCGAGATCACCGGCGGCTTCAACAAAGTCGGACAAGCTTGTAAGTTGGACACTGACATATTCAGGAGAAAAGCGATGATTTTTCCACATGCCAAACTGCGCCTTTTCCAACTCCACAGCCAATTTAGCCATCGACTCCGGTATGTGACGTGACGTTTTCTTCGCCAACGCTAGTGAGATCGCCAGATAGAACTCGTCATGTTTCTCCAGAAGAGTCTGCAAGGCGAACACGGCCTGCACATTGGGTGCTTCCGCGTTCCAATCAATAGGCTCGACACTTTGAAGTCTCTCGGCCACAGCCCGCCGTCGTATCTCGTTAAACGTATTGACACGCTGTTGTTCTGAAAGATGACGTTCTTGCATACACAAGCCAAAAAAAGGGAGAGCTTTCGCTTTGATTTCGTCCAGGTTGGGCATGAGGAGATGCAGGTTGTCGTGAAGGACGAAATCGGCTTTTTCAACGAGCTCGAACCCAGTAATCATTCTACTTTCTTGATCTTCCTTTTCAAGAATGTGCGCCCTCAGAAGTCTCCCTGATGTCTCGTCCTCGAGTTCATGAGCACCTTGTGTTGCGGCCCCTAGATTTGCGAGACCCGAGACGGGAGCAACACCGGCAGGTAGCGCACCACCCACAAAAGGCACGAAGAGGTAGCAAGACCTCATGGCCAAAAACTCCAAAGATGCTAGGAAGGACCCAAGTGAAGGAGATCCAACCAAAATAAAAGTGAGCGAACCAAACGGACGATCCAGAATTTCAAAGAAAAGTTCCGTTCTGCAGTTGCAAAAAGGGACGATCGTCAGAAGCCAGCCATTCGACAGCAAAACCATTCGATCAACGGGGTCGTCAGGCTGCATAGCAGAGTCGCAGTGTCATTGGCATGGACATAGACCATGTCGACGGCAAAGAGCGTACAGCATAGAACGATGGCGTGCGACGCTTATTTATTCATCACGACATGAAGTGCTCACCCAGCCACGTCAGGGAGCATTGTTGACGAAAGACTAACAAGTCATAGTGGCATGAGTTATTTCATATCATGCGCAGCACAAAAGATAGTGATAGCCATTGCCTGATACTCAACGATTGATCGGAGGTAGACACGTCCGCTTGGGATTGACAATACTGCGCAACTCCGGGTTGCATGTTTGGACTATGTGCAATGCACGCAGCCCCTATCTTGCGACTTGCAACTGGCGCCACTCCCGCACAGCCAAATCATGTCAGCTGTGTAGTTCGCCCTATGTGTAGTCTTGGTCCTGACTCAGCTTTTACAGATGCCTGCACCAATGGCTGGCGACCCGAGTGTAATACCACCAAGAGACTGCTACCGACGAAATGCTCAGGAGACTTTTTAAAGCACCACTTTCTGTCTAATAAAACCTTACTGCTACCCATCTACGCAAGAATCATACCGGCTTTATATTTTCTTGATTGTTCTATGCGTCGTGTCGAGTACGTCCATTATTCACGAATAACTAACGACTGAAGTTTCCAGGAAGTGTGATCCGAATCCGGATCCACAACGTGGGTGCTCCGAAGAGCCGGGGGCGAGGGTAGCGGAGGTCAGAGACATCCAATCCAAGCCAGATTCGAGCCTATCTTTCAAGCGCTCTCAGTGCAATGCTGCCCTATGCAGTAGAAGATATCAAGACGTCCAAAAGGACGCCCAACTAAATCGGTGACCGCTTAGCGCGGTCAGCCGACCTATAGCGCGAGAAACCGAAATAACCTTACGCGCCGGGAGAATGCTACTAATATCAGGTACAGACTCCTTTGTGGCCGCTAAAGCGACCGTCCGGGCTGGATGTCGCTATCGTCGAGGCAATAACGATGGCGGGGGAACGCCTGCCCACCGTAGTATCTCCATGAGAAGCTCATCCATCTGCGATAGTGGCTCCCGTCGGCCGCTTGCGCGACCCCTTGACGTGGAGTGCGATCACCGAAGTGACAGCAACGCGTGGAGAACGCCAACCCGCCGTAGTATCTCCCGAGGAGCTCATCCATCTGCGATGGTGGTTCCCATCGGCCGCTTGCGCGACCCGTTGATCCACTGCGTCCACACCTTAGACTGCGAGTGTAGCTTGCTCGAGGCCGACATTAGACCCCTTCGGCTGCCTAAGGGGAGGATTCCCTCCAATGTGGCCGCCCCATAGGGGTAAGAAAAGACCGGCTTGAGATAAACCCTGAAAATTCGGGAATGTTGCTTGTTCTATGCTAGCGAACCTTGAGCGAAAGGCAGTGCAAATCCTTGAGAACTCATTGGAAACAAGCACGCGCTAGAAGGGACTGCTTGGGCTGAGCTCTCTTTGCATGACTATGATGGAGACACTCCCAATGCATGACAATAGTGTGATCTACGCTGTAGAGGTGGCACGTCATCCATGAGGTGAGGAGAGCGTCAATGCAAAAGTCAACTAAGATTAGATGTGCTATGGCTGCTTTATAGTAACGAAAAAAGGTGCTAAGGTACGCGACATATAGGCCTCGAAAGGAATAACTGAAGCGAGATGGACGTGAATTGTTGGCATAACTAATTATCATGAGCGTTTTCAGGTTAATAAAATAGAATACATAGCTTTGGACTTTGGAGAGGCTACCATATTCCTTAGTAACTTGTTCCCCCTACTATTTATTATAGTCGTCGATGAACACATAGTTGATACCTTAATCACGACGAGGCAATGTTTCCGTACCATATCAACCGTGTACACAAATTCTGGTGCGCTGCGTCCGTATCAAGGATAGGATAATGGACGCGCGTGCTAGCGTTTCTATTCCACTTACGGCGGACTGCGCTGGGGCTTGATGGAAGCGGCCTTTCACTTAATGTATTTTTGCTGAGATATATTAAAAATATATGTCTGTGTAGCCAATATAAATCGTGCGTAGATAAGCTATGGTAATTTTCTTTTAGGCAGGAAGTGGTGATTTTTATTAAGTATTTTTGATCCTGGGAGGGGCTCGAGGGCAGAAAGAGACAGACTAGCTTTGTAACGGGGTGAATCGTTACATAACAATTTATAAGAAATTGTTAATAGAATATAGCTATGAGAGTCATTTTCTCAGAATATTGTCATAAGGACAAATGTTCTGTAGCACTTACGAGTAGTTCCTAATTGGTTGATATAGGCCATTATATCAACCAACGAAGACGCGCCACGACAGACGTACGCAATGAGTGGTGAGCAGATAACTGATTTACACATTTGTATTTAGACATAGTTAGATGAAGATAAATAGTGATTTATTGCAGACATTAACTATTATAAATACAGTTCTACTTTTTACTTTAACCAAGTACTCGCTTCTTCTTACCGTCTTCCTCTGCACGTACGAGTGTACGTGAAGTTCCGGGGCACCGCCTTATTCTGTTATCAGAATAAGTAGCTTGTACTGTCATCAGTACAAGCTTCAGGGTGCCCCGTTACACCTGGTAGCACTTCGTAGTCCGTCCAAGGACCGCGTTCACATCCAACATGAATATGTTGGATGATGAAGATGACCAAAGCTTTCACGCTACGCGTGACGGCTACTCCCATTTGAGCGATGTCGAATGAGATGCGGTTGAACGAATGGGTTCAACCATGGGCATCCATGCTGTTAGCGTCATCCTAGAGGCTCTCAATAGAGATGCCCAACATGCTACTATCGCCAAGTTCATTCAAAATGAACTTGACGCTGAACGCGAGAAAGTATCCTTGCTTTACCAACAAGGTTCTCAACAAGCAGAGTTGTTGAGAGAACAGGGTGCTCAACAGTTTGAACTGTTGAGACAGCAGCAGGCTGCTGCTGCTGGGCCGATGCACTCGCGTCGACCCGAAATCTTGAAGATTGACATCTCTAAGTATAGGGGAGTCGAAGAAGACTCCCTCTTGAGATGGCTCGTCGAATTGGATGACGCCATAAGGGCGCGTCGCATCGACGACGGGGATATGCAAGTTGCATTTGCCCAGTCAAATCTGGCAGGACGTGCCAAGACTTGGGCACTGGGGCTCAAGTTGCACGACCCATATGCGTTTGGGTCGTTAGAAGTCTTCAAGTCGCGGCTCAGACAAACGTTTGAACCACCTAGAGCTGAGTTCAGAGCTCGAACCGAACTCTTGAAGCTCAAGCAGGGTAAGCGTGATGTGCACGCTTACGCGCAACATATACGACTTCTTAAGAGTTGTATAAGTTCCAATCCGGTGGATGAACACACGTTGGTTTCGGTGTTCATGCAGGGTCTTGCGGATGGTCCCGTCAAGACTCACCTGTTCCGGCTTGAACTAGATTCACTAGAACAAGCAATTTCCATTGCGGAACAGGAAGACTTCAGTCTGAGACAGGCTCGCGCCAGCTCGACATCATATCGTCAACCGAGACGATATGACAACGGAGGTCCAGAGCCGATGGAACTCTGGTATGTAGAGAGCGAGAAGGCTCGCTCTACAGACTACAAGAAGTTGCAGAAATGCAACAGATGTCAGAAGACAGGACACTACGCTTACGAGTGTAGTGCCCCTCGTCCAGTGTCTCGCAACACTGGGCGTAGTGACCGTCCACCCATGAGAAAGGGGCAGGGACGCGGGTCCGCTGTTGGTGCAAAGACGCAACAACGGGATGGACCGTCCAAAAACGGACAGGATCAGTAGGTGCGGAGAACCCTACTGGTCCAGCAACGTCAAGAGAATTTGTAGGCCTCTTGATGAAGGTTGCTCCCAACACACAGACGTTGTGCGTTGCTTCTCTAGGTAATGAGATCTCACTCATTACCTTGAAACTCAAAGTGACGAATAAGTTGTCCCTTCGAGCTCTAGTCGATTGTGGGGCGTCCAACAATTTTGTGCGACGCCAATCGCTAGAAGATGGTCACTTTAAGTTCAGTGAATGTGACACACCTCCTACGAGGATGACGGTACGTCTTGCGACAGGCGCATCCGTAACCGTCATGAAGCGTATAGTGAAGTTTCACTATACGATGGAAGATGCCCAATATGACGATGACTTTATCGTATTGGATCTGGATGACAAATTTGATGTCATCCTTGGAATACCGTGGCTCAGAAGGTACGAACCACGGGTAAACTGGCAACATCGAACAGTAACGATGCCTGCCGCTTGTTCTTCAGATGGCTATCTGATGAACGTTTTGGAGCGTCCACAAGCGTGTGGATGTACTACGAGTGAGTGCGATGGCCTCACTTGTGGTACGGTCGTTAGTACGACTGCACAAAACCCTAGTGTACCAAACGGTTACACTTCGGAGCAAAGTTCCGGCGGCTGTGAGGAAACACAGGCTGCGCCGTAGGTCCACCACTCGAATAAGTCGAGTGGACTGGGACAAAGATGTATCCCTAGCGGGGAACATCTAGAAGAGAAACAATCGATCGCTCAGGTTAAGCTAAACGATAATCCTAGATCGACTGGAGAGTCTTTCGTAGAGGATCTTGCTGTGGGTGCGCAACCACAGCTAGAGGAAGTAAAGGGAATAAGTCCCAAGCTTACAAATACGGCGGAAATAAGTTCCCCGAAACCCGCCGGAATAAGTCCCCGGGAAGCCGAAGTAATAAGTCCTTCGAAGCCTGAGGGAATAAGTCCCCAGGAAATGACAGAGACATTAAATGTCATAGCCAATAACGGATCAAGTGTAGGCGCTTATACACTTGATCTGATTGCGCCTCCG